ATTTGTGGCAGATGCTTCATGCTTACTCCAAGATGTTGCTTGAATAAACCAAAAAAATAGGAGTTACTCCAAGTCTTTTGGTATGTATTTTACGCTCATATGCATCTATAATTATCAATTTCTTTGTTTTATATATTGATGGATTTCTTATCTTAGGTCTTACCATAGATGTTTGTACATAATTTTCAATATTTATTTATTCTAATAACGCTTATAATATAATGTCTATTGATTTTTGAGAAATTTTTAAAAATACCATTTTTCAAGTGCCACTTTTCAAAAATGTCACATTTTCAAAAATTTTGCAAAAATGCCACTTTTTCAAGAAAAACAAATTATTATATTATTTATGTTTGGATTAACTATGTTGTATTAGACTTTAGTTTTGAGGATTTAAGGGTTTTAGGGTTTAAAACATTTTTTAGGATTAATAATAATAAGATTTAGGTTTTAAAAATCTATAATTAGTGGTATTTTTGCAAATAGACATCCCTAAGTGGTATTCATGCAAATGTACATACCAAAAGTGATATTTTGCAATTGCCCTTTGATTCTTCCACATTCATCGTGTTATCTATGTAATTATAATGCAATTATCTATGTAATATGTCTTACTGATTTTTAAAGATTTGGTTATCTTTGTAACAGGTGTGTTCTTTAAAGGTTTGATTTTTAAAGATTTAATTTTTAAGAGATTTGATTATTATATTGCAAGTGTTTTTTTTTAGCTTATTCGGCTATTGTTATTACTAAATATTTCTCTATATATTCATAGGTGTGTAAGTATTTCATATAATATCGTATTTAGTTTAGACCATTGATTTGTTTGTTTGTGTTTACTGATTGATTTGGTTTCATTCCTTTAAGGTTTCTCCTCGAATTAAAACTTAATTTGTATCAATGGTGTTTGAATCATACATTGTTATTGGTTAGGTCAACTACTTCGTTTTATTTGATATTCGGCGTGAGTTCTTGGAGGTTATTTTAATATATTTTTTATACAAATAGCTAATATATGTGTATAAGTTTAGTGTTTACATATAATTGGTTTGTGTTTTCCTTTTTTTTTTGTAGGCGATCATACATTATTCTTTACTCTCACATGTCACACGTTTGGATTTATTGCAAACATGGTGATCAGATATATTATAGATCTCCTTCAACAATTTTGGTATATGCTCGCTGAAGCTTTTGTGATTGGTGCAGTTGATAAGCGAATCATGAATGTAGCCAAAGAAATTGTTCCCGGATTTTGAATATTTCCAAGAAAATTAGATGAAGAAGAGAGTTTGAGATGGGTTAGGCTCAAGAGAAGTAAAGAGATGCGAAAACTAATTCCCTTTTCACAATGAATGAATATTTCCTTATTTACAATTAGTTTATACATGTGATATCAGTTTTTCTTTTTATATATAGTATATCTATATTTGTGGAAGTATAAAAGAAACATTAAATCTTATATTTAAAACTAAAAAAACAATGTCCTCGACTAAATGGGTTAGATGAGTATATTATCTATTAACATTCATTTTTAATATAATTTTCCGGATATAAATAGCATAGGTCATAATATGTTGAATTTCGTATATGTAAATACATGTTTTTTATAATAAATGTAATTTTCTGATATATATATAGAATTTTACATTTTAATTGTAAAACTTATAATTCATAGTTATTCATTTTATATATTCAAATAAAAAATTAATATCGTATTCACAACAATAAATTTTGATCTATCATTTGCAATCCAATTGTTAAATGTACATATGCTTACTAACCATTTGCTTCTAATCGTGTTTGAATAATATCTATACAAACTTAACTTATTTGGAGCTTATCTAACAAGAACATAGGACAAATACTTTGGTTGATGTTATTTGGATCTTTCTTCTCTTTATTTCTTTAAGTATTTGAAACATACGATTTCCTGAATATAACTTTTCATAGTGGACCATAACAAAACCCATAAACAGTTAAAATCCTACGAGATTGTATCTCATAGATACATACTTGGAAAAGTGACTAAATCAGACTAACGTTGATAAAAGATTTGGATTTGAAGAGACCCCCACTGATAATTTGGCCTATGTTATTGTCTAGACTTTGATGATAATTTGGCCTATGTTTTCAA